AAGGTGGCTAGTTGATATTAAATCTATTTATTCTTTGCAAGTTAATTAACGCTTGGAAAATTAATATCATCTTAATTAGGGTACAAATAGAAGAAAAATGCGTGTGAAGCGTTAAATGTTAAAACTCGAGCAGTTAAATGCAAACTTCAGTTGACCTTCGCCATGAGACCGGGTAAGTACACGTTCTCTACAGCCAATCTTTCTACTCGAGCAGCCTGTGGGCGAGGTATACGAAACGTGCCTATAGCGACCTGCGCGTTCCATACAACAACGCATTTAGAGTGCTGATGGGACTGCCAAGCTGGTGCAGTGCATCGGCCGTGTTTGCGCAAGCTCACTGTCGGCGGTCATGTTTAAAAATTACAAAAATATATTTTTACCACCAATTTTCAGCGCGAGTAAAGTAAGTTTTCGTAATAGCCATTTACATTGAAGAAAGAAAAATGGAGGAAACGAAATTTTTACCCCAAATTATGATTTTCAGCCGGATAAGAACATTTTATTTCTGCTGCCAAAAAACGCTTGTAGTGGCAGCCAAAAAAATTAAAAAATAAATTTTGACTAGTTATTGTTATTCAACACCTATGGTGGTCTCTGTCTCTATGTCTCATGTCGATTAACAGTCGGGTTAGAGCAAATTTTTATCTGCCACCAAGGAACGCTTGTACGGCCGCCATGTTTCAAAATGGCGAAAAACTCATTTTGACCATAAAACGATTCTTCCTCTATTCCACTAAGTTCAATCAGTTGAACTAATCGAACACAAATATTCCAATTAGTTCAACTAGGTACAATTTTTGTAAAGTTGAACTTATTGGTTGAAATTCATTCTGTTAGTTCAACTTTCCAATTATTTAAATATTAGTTTAACGAATAACTGATAATATTCCTTATTGTCTTTATGTGTTACTACATATAAATAGTAAGCGCACTAGGAAGGAGCGAACATGTAGGTTGAACTAATTAACTCGGCTAAAAAAATAACGTTAATAACATTATATAAAATATATAAAACAATATTTTTATTTATTTATCCATCCACAATATAAGTTAATGTTAAGCTAATATTATGGGCCCAGTAAGGCATCGCAATAGTAGAGGTGTGTTATACATGCATAAAATCTGGATTTATAGTTATTGCTTAAACTTTGCTATCTATTCTATATCATTATATTCTATTTAATTACATATTTATTCATTGTTTAATATCAACAACAACAACAAAATTTTCAACTTAACGGTTATACGTTGAACTATTGTTTAAATAATTGGAAAGTCGAATTAACAGGATGAATTTTGTCCAATAAGTTCAACTTTTTGACAAGTTGTACCTAGTTGAACTAATTGGAATATTTGTGTTCGATTAGTTCAACTGATTGAAGTTATAGTTGAACTTAGTGGTATAGACGAAACTTTTTAACAGGCACTTCTAGATGTCTCCGCATGCCAATTTTTGCTGAATCAGAATAAGTTTTTTTCGGCAGCCATTTATAACGAAAAAAACACTTTTGACCCCAAATTGTGATTAAGGACTTCTACCTATTAATTGTTATAAATTGTACATTAAGCAATCCCCACACGAAACATAAAAATATTATTACTATTCGTTGAAACAGCTCTCCAACAGCGCCGCCCAGACATGTAAGCTATAGTTTAGAGTACGATGGAACTGGCATATACATTGTATAAAAGTTCCTAAATAAGAAAAAAGACTTCTACCTAAAGAGCTCCGCGTGCCAATTAGGTTTTGTCACTGTCCATAGAATTGTAAAGGACACAGATTGAAATTCTAAATTGAGGCTTTGTCATGGTCTATAGAATTGTAAAGGACACAGGTTCAGGAACGTCCGAGTTCTGGAATTGTGAACCTTAAGTGGACGCGAAGAAAGCTTCGTTCACTGTGCTTCGATTAATATAAATAAACAAATAATAAACGTAAACGTATGAGGCGACGCTCAAATATTTTAAGGTTACACCTCTACATGTTGGGCTTACTCTTTTAGGGTCGTATTCTAGAACTCTACTCAATGCTCAAGTCAGGATTTGAGTATGGTTTAAAGCACTCGAAATCATACTCAAGTCCCTGCCATTAGGGTCGTATTTCCAGTGCTTGTGTTGCCAGTGCAATCCTGACTTGAGCATTGAATAGAGTTCTAGAATACGACCCCAAGTCTCTACTTTGTATAAAATTATTAATTATAATTTGGACGCCAGTGAACTGTTATGCCATGTTTCGTTTAGGATCGGCAGCATGCGTGTTCAAAGACTGTTTTCGTTATCTTGCCGTACCAATAATGACACGTGTAATAGCCCTATCTTTCGGATGTGTAGAACTTACAATGATATTTGTAAATATGTAGATATGTTCTCTCCGATACTTTGATTTAAACTTTCACGATTTTCACACATTATTTGATTTTTAATTCGGAACTTAATCACGTTTAAAACATATTTTAATTACCTCGACGAAAACAACATCAAATATCGCCCGACAAGTCGCCGGATGTTGTGAGTGTTGTGTGTCGGTCTGGAGAGAAGCCTAGTGCACAAATAAATAATTGAGATCAAGTGCAACAACTACCCAGTTAGAAAAACTCGCACGGCTAGAAGATGCTGACACCCGCCTCTTCAGTCTCTTCGATACCATGGTCCGAAACGAGGTAATTAAAATATGTTTTATACGTGATTAAGTCCCGGATAAAAAATCAAATGATGTTCTCTCCGAGTCATAAAACATTTATGAGTAACTGTTTCCTAATATTGACTTGTGTTTGTATGTAGTTTTCTTTTTTTTTCTGTATTCCAAAAAAGGAGGTTTTCAATTCGACTGTATGTTTTTTTTTGGTGTGTATGTTACGCGATAACTCCGGTATTTGTGAACCGATTTTCATGATTATTTTTTGTTGGAATGAGGGTACCTACCGCCATAGTGGTCCCATTTAATTTTGAAGAAAATCACCCACCTTTAAGGGTGGCTCCTCATGCATAAAGATTCATTTTCATAAATAGCGCCTAAATTTTATTATAAGGAGCAAGTATTTTAATGATTGATTTTGCTATTCTCCAATTTAAGGCGTTTTTCTCTCAATATACTTTGAGTAGTGAAAACCAATTTTTATTGTCTCCTGTGTCAAGTCCCGTATTGCACATTTTCCGGTAACCAATTTCAATAAAGTTGGCAATTATATCTATTCCACGTACTTTTGAGGTCGGTATTTTAGGACACTGTACTGAGATTATGTTGTTCTTTTTCAGTTCTACTTTGGGTTTTGGCCCTCTTATTATGTCTACATTCGACAATATCAAGAAGCACTGAAAATAACTTACCTACAGTTTCGAATACTGATCGAAATGGGACTAAAATAAATAACAATAATACGATAAATAATGATAAGGAAAAAGAAGATAATTATCCCTATAGTCCTACATGGCAAGAGCTAATACAAGCACAAATTCAGTACATAAAGGAAACATTTTACAGAGTATTCAATTCAATTTTTGATATATCATCGGACAGGAATAATGATAAAATCATTAATAATGATAATAATGATGTAATTAAATGTAATGACATGAAACATTCGAAACATAAAAACTGCAGCGATAAACATTTAAAAGGCAATAACATTGAAAAGTCTCATAAACTTGATATGTCTAAAAATATTCATAATAATCAAAATGGTAATTCATCGTCAAAGATTAGTGACATAGATGAATTTAAACACGACGACATATCTGAAGATTTTAATGAAAATCAAGCAAGTAATGATAGTAAACACGTTATAGATGAAACAAATCATTGGGCAAAAAACCTTAATGAAAATAATGAAACAGAAAAGGCAAATTTTAAACAAAGTCTCAGAAGAAATAACAAAGATCTAAATTTGGACGAAAGTTTAGAAAGTTCTAACGTATATTTAATTAGGAATAACATTAATAACAAATCTGTTAATACGGCTTACGACATTACAAACAAAAATAAAATAAATAACTCATCTGAAAATATCATGAATGATGTAATGCACAATTTACGTGAAGTCAATGTAAGATCAAAAGAAAATGATTATATGAATATAAGAACCTTAAGACAAAAACTATTAGATTATTTACTTGATTATATAGTAACTGTTGAGTTTGACAATGTAATTGATTCAGAATTAAATGAGACGATTACTTTAGAAGATCGGCTACGAAATTATTATATCAATCATTTAGAAGACCCAGACAGTGGGGAAATAAATTTTGACAAAAATACGCAGTCAAAAATTGATAGTGTTCGTGCAGTAGCTGATAATTACATTTTAAATGATATGAACACTTTAAAAAACGAAAATATGAAAACACGTAAACATGCAGATGAATATAAAGGTGTTAAAGGCGTGGAAAATAATACAAACGTGTTACATCAACTTGCCAAGGATCAAAAAAATAATGCAGCTACTGACAAAGAAAAATCAAATACAAGTGTTAGTATTAAACAGGATGAAAAAAAGTTTGAAAGAAACAATGGGAGTATAAATAATTTCAATGGAGACGAGTCTATTATAAATGAGCCTAAGATTCCCGAAAGTATTAAGAATAATAAGACTAAAGACAATAAAAAGTTAATCACAGATACAAACGATATTAACAATAACACTTCAAAAAAGGCTAATAACGAAACATCTGCAATTAATGTAAAAAATGAAAAAGTTCAGAATAATGAAGGAGGGAGTAAGGGGTATTATCAAGGAGGTCGTAAAAATCAAGTAAATAAAGAAAATGATACGGAACTACATACAGGCGTCAATGAACCAAGTAACCAGACAAGTTTAAAAAATGAATTGGATGAAGAAAATATTATAAATAAACCTGGAAACCAAGGATATCTGGAGAAGAAGATAAAGCAAGAAAAACAAGCAATCGAGTCTGAAAATTTATTTCAAGGGAATGGTGGAATGGAGTTCTCGAAAACAGAAGCGAATAAATACAAAAATAAATCGAAAGAACAAAGTACAAAGAATGAACAAAATGGCAAAAATCAGACAATACACAGAAACACAAGAAAGAATAACGACTTTAAGATGGTTCGGTATTATAAACTCATGAGAGAAAATGATTTAGAAAACAATATCCCTAACGAAGAGTTAGAAACAGATGGTGATATGAAAGACTATGAAACAAGCTTAAATGGTAAAAAGCAATATTTCAATAACATGGAAGATGCAAAATCCGAAGAACAAGGACAAAAAGCTGCAGAAAATAAAGATAACTCGTTTGATCATTTTAAAGATTATCCAGAACATTTCAATAAAGACGAAAATACAAAAGTTTTTATTGAAATTTTGAAAGGAAAGAAAGAAGGAACCATTATGGATATTAACAAAAAACTTGTTGACATAAATGAAAAAGGTGTAATAGAATGTAAAAATGATTTAGAAAATGAGAAATGTGATAAAAATACTAATAACAATGCAGAGAAAGACAAAAGTCAGATTAAATTAAAACTACTTTTAGTTTTTTAGTATTAAATTGCAATAAATACTTTTGTTATACACATTTTAAGATTTTCTTAGTTATTTAAAAGTCTTTTTATTTTTATTCCCAAATCTTCCTTCTAGAACACATTGTACCGTTGGTATAGTACAGTCATGATCATCAAACAGGGTCATGAAAATCAGAGTTTTCCAAGAGTTGTGAAGTTTGTTTGACGTGTAGTTTAATCTCGTGATTAAACTACTTTTCTTCATCGAAAATCTCATGAAACTTAAAGGTTCCAACCATTGACTTACAAATAAATGGACGACGGGTCTAATACAAAAACCACGAAAAAAATGTCCCAAGTCAACCTATTTAAACGTAGTAAGTAACATGTAAAGGAATATGAAAAAGCTAAAACGTTGAATTTAAATTGTAATGTCATCGCAGTACTGTCTAATTTTGCTTGCTTCGCTGTCAGTCGAACAAACGAAGACTAAAGCGTGAATGACGCTCTGTATACGATTTTAACGCCCTATAAGTTCGGATACTTTTTAGCGCGGACCCGACGTCCATATAATTAATTGTAAGTCAATGGTTCCAACCCATGGTCTTTGCTTGACAGGCGTTAGGGCAAACTTTTAGGCTACCACGGCTTCGCGGCATCATAGTAACGTCACATGTGATTGTATGATCGTATGGTGTGCTGAAGTCTCTGGTTCCAATCCAGTCAGGATTCAGAACCTTCGATATTTTAACTGAATCGTTCGATTGTATATCGTTCTCGAATCGAAGGGTGCTTTCCGTGCTATTCAGAACATTCTGAGTTTTTTTTTATAATGTCATTTGACGTAAGCTATAGGCCTATCCATTACAGTTGCAGTGTCAATCAGAGCCTTAAATCCATTGACCTTTGTATGCTTAAATCGCAAATATCTGAGGGGCAGTGCCACTGCGCCCGTCATCCTGAGACATAAGTTGACAAGTCACCAGCAACCTTACGCTTCAAAGCCGGAACACAGTAATGCAGACATTACTGCTTGGCGGCAGAAATAGGTCAGGTGGCAGTACTACCCCGGATGACCTCTTTCACAAGGAGCTTCTACTGCTAATACAATTACACATATAGTCAAGTAGAAGAACATACAGATCAATTTCATACAAAATACTAGTAACAGGACATTACGGTAGAGAAAATCTTAACAATGCGATTCGGAAATTGCGTTACCTGTGCCAATGCCATCTATCGGTAAACTTCGGAACTATTGTTACAAGTGTTGCAAAAGTTATTGTGATATATAGTTAAAATAATGAAATTACCAGAGTGTGGCCGATTTACTTGCGTATTTGGCTCCTTTGATGTGCATCGAGAAACCGACCAGCGCGCGGTAACGCATGTTAGGTGTTTGCTGTATTTGTCGAATAGGCTGACAAGGCAAATACGTTGTCACACATGCTATCTACACATGGTGATTGTTTTCCAAACATATCAAATACGCAAATACAATTGACCATGTGGAGTAATCAACAACAAACAAACTAGTGGAGAAATTTCATAAAAAATAATTGCGTGATATTTAATAAACTTATTAAGTAAAACGTGTATTATTAGAATTAATTTTACATTTAATTATTAGTGAACAATTCGAAATAGTTCATCGGAAATATACATTTTATCGGACACGACATCCGCACTAAACTCGTATTCAGATGCTAGGTCTGTATCTTTGACAAGGTAACTGAAAAAAGAAAAAAATCAACATTAATGTAAAAATGGTGACGGAATACTTTCATAGATTTGCTACTGCCAGATGGCGCTACGGCTGAAAAGTCGTTGAAAACCATATACAAAGCTCCGACAACAAGCACGTAGAAAAATTCGTCAGGCCGGCTGGTTCGTTCCGTTGCTTAATTGTCATAGCGTCTGGTACCGTTAGCTAGGAGAAGTCGACGAGAATTTTTTCTGTGTTCGATTTTTGTATATAATAATAAATTAATTAATAATTATAACAAACTAGTGGACTAAATTCATAAAAAATAATTGAATATAAATTCAATAAAAAAATAAAAGCACAAGGTCAAGAGCACGTCAAGCTTGACGCTTAAGACTTAAATACAACTCTATGCCGCTTACGATATGAATGGTTTAAAGTACAAAGTGTAAAGCTTGACGTGCCCTTGATTGTACCTATTTGGTCTCAAACTAGGGAATTTTTGTTATGTCATTTAACTGTCTCCGTCGCCGATGGTTATCTTGCCGGACTGGGCCGGAAGATATATTTGTATGGCCTATATTTATTTATTTCGTGAGTGTGGGTTTAATTTGTGGTTGTCTATGTGTGTGTCCAAGGCAGCTGCGGCACAGGGTTTCCCTAATGCGGGGCTATGTTGAGTGTATACGTTATTATTATTATCATATTTAAAACAAAATTTCACACAAGTTGGGATTTTCAGATACTGGCAATGTCGTCAAAATGAAATTACTTAATTTGTCATCTAAGAGTCGTACTCCAGAACTCTACTCAATGCTCAAGTTAGGATTTGAGCAGACTTGAGTATGATTTCAAGCACTGGAAATACGACCCTAATGGCAAGGGCTTGAGTATGATTTCTAGTGCTTTGAATCATACTCAAGTCCTGACTAGAGCATTGAGTAGAGTTCTAGTATACGACCCTTTATCTGCTAACGACTACACGCGGTGACTTTCAAGCTGGGTTTACACTATACGAGTGCTCTCGAGCCGAGTGCGCTTGTATGAGTTAGATAGTCTACTCGCATTTTCGGTTTATACCTTACAAGTTCATTAGCGTCCAAGTAGCATTTTTTTTCTTGAAAAATGAAGATGACGACGACTGATCTGCTACTGTGAGGCATAAGAGTTGCAGCAGATATGTTAATGGCTGAAGTACAAACTTATGAAAGAGAAAAAAACAAACCAAGAGAAAAATTTGAACCAGAAAATGGATTTTAAAACGTGACCAACTGAGAGTTTCAAATAATTTCATATTTATATTAAGATACATTTATTTGCATTTCATATGATGTTACAGATTAAATTATTATAGAAATATTACAGAATAATTTATTCGAGAAACATAAAAACATGACTAGAATGTATTGTCACGTTCATTTCGCTCTTTCTTAGTTGGCGCCATTTTGTTTTCATGAAATGATCAGAGTATACTTGTAAGATTGGACACCGATTTCAAGTGCGCTCGCATTACGTATTTACACGCTACGAGTGGCGTCCGAGTAGTCATCCGAGTGTACTCGGTTCAAGCGTACTCGTCTTGTGAAAACTAGGCTTTAGTAGCGGTAATAACAACGTCGGTTACCTTTCCGATAATTGTAATATATTGGCAATAGGTAATTAGTTTACAAGAGTAGTGCCATTAACCGTCAAACAGTGGCGGCTTGTCATGGAATCAAGAGTGAACGGTGTTTATGACCTTTCGAAAACATCTTCGAATATTAAGTCACTAAGTTCGGCGCTCATATCTAACGCGGCCCCTCATCACTGCGACCTTATGGTCACATCAGCTTATGCTGATCTATTGTGATCACCACTGATTACAGTTCGGAACCAAAGCCAACAGCATTAAGGAACTGAAGGACTTTCCTGGCTCCGACAGTTTTTATGTCCTCTGGGTGTGGCCTGTGCATACCCGGTATGGAACTTCTCTAAGCCCATTAGAGGGTAGGACTGGGTGAAGAGATGCACAGGAGTTCCATCCGCCTCATGGCAGGGTCTATATTCTCTGTTTTCTTTCTGCCCTGTTGAGGTTCTAGTCAGCATTCTGATGCCATTCCTGTCCAGTGACAGAGTTTCTCTACAGTGTTTGGCACGGTAGGCAGCTATCGGGGCTTTTGAATGCTCAAGACCCTTGGTCTGCAGCCACACCTCACGGGAAACGTGTCCGCTTTCGTTCAGCAAAGCGAGCTTTGCTAGGCTGTGTGCTATCCCTATAAAAGGCTCAGGACCAATGAAGGCTTCCCTGGCACCAGCCTTTGCCAGTTCATCCGTTGTTTCATTACCCTCGAGGTCAGAGTGACCTGGAACCCAACACAGGACCACATTATTCCTTTCCCCGAAAGCATTCAGTATAGTTACATAATTCTCTACAATCCTCGAAGTTTAGGTGACTGTGGTTAGTGTATTAAACGAGTAAATCACTTCTCTCTTTTTACGTTGGCGGTTAAAAAAGGTTTCTTACCCATCTTCCGGGTGGTAAGGGTTATACAGTTTACCAGTTAAATTCAGTTCCAGTTTGTTATTGTCACTATTGGTGGTTGCTTTCATTCGATATAATGGTTTGTTGTTTATTTCTCTTGATGCAGTCGTACTAATGACTGTCACTGAAAAATGTTAACTTGTTATACTTCAGAATGTTACAATTTCTATTTTAATGGCCCGATATTTTTTTCTCACATTGAAATACAACTTACTTAACAGTTGATACTACAAGTAGAATTATTGGCAGAAGGATACCAAGATTGATTCAAAAATAGGATCTTGAGCGTAACGAGGGTTCCAAGGCACTAGGCGCAAAACAATTTTGCTGCCGAGCGAAACACACAACGTTTCACCTCACTATACCGAGGAAAATGGTAGATGAAAGACAAACAGTCGAAATAATAAAAACTAGTTTTTTATGCGAAAAGCGTTTGTCTTCGGACGCGTTCTGAATGTGCACCTCATAAATTTTTGTCCTTGCTTGTACATACTTATAATTTTGGGTGATTATTGAAATTATTTTAATTCTTCGACGAATTAAAATAATTTAATGAACAAAATATGTTATTAATTTATATTTATATGTTATTAGTAATAATGTTATTCTTGTCAATTTTATGTCAACAATAATAAGAATAAAATATCCCGACGGATTTATATTACATATAAAGGGTTTTTCAATAGGGACGCTCGAACTTTGAAAGTTGATACCGGCCATCTTGGAAAAGCGATAACTGTCAAATTTGGCGGGAAAACATATATAATCGTGACATTTCACCATGGAGCGCTACACGCTTCAACAACGCGTAGAAATTATTAAAATTTATTTTCAAAATCAGTGCTCTGTTCGCTTAACGTTCCGTGCGTTGCGTCCAATTTATGGTATTCATGGTCGTCCTGCAGAGTCCACAATCCGTCGTTTAATTAATAAATTTGAGAGAACCGGTTGGTTTTGGATGAAGCAGTGCCTGTTATACCGAAACCAGGAAAACCCGACTATATTGACGCGAAGTCCTTCAGACCAATCAGCCTCACATCGTTCTTCTTGAAGACTTTAGAAAGGATATGTGACGGAGAACTGAGAGATGGAGCGCTTAAGAACATTCCATTACATGGTAACCAATATGCATACAGCCAAGGCAAATCCACTGAATCGGCCCTACATGCCGTTGTGGGCAAGATAGAAGTGGCCCTTAAAGACAAAGTAATCTGCCTAGGCACCTTTATAGATATTGAAGGAGCCTTCGATAAAACCAACTTCTCCAGCATACAATCAGCAATGAAAAGGCACAAAGTAGATGAAGTGCTAATTAGCTGGATTAGCAACATGCTGTAACAAAGAACAATAAAAACAACAGCAAATGAGACCCCATGGGCCATAGTAGCGAAGGGATGCCCTCAAGGACGGGTATTGTCGCCTCTGCTGTGGAACATGGTCGTAAATGACCTTATCATTAAACTCAACAAAGAACATTTCTATACAATAGGATATGCTGATGACATAGCTATACTGGTAACAGGAAACTATGCCAATACAGTGTGACATTACACAAGCGGCTCTCCGAATTGTGGAAAGATGGTGCAGAGCATATGAACTATCGGTAAGTCCAACAAAGACGGAACTAGTAATGTTTACCAACAAACGACTACTAGGTAACTACCGATTACCCAAACTCTTCAGCACAGAACTACAGATATCAACCGAAGTCAAGTACTTGGGAGTAATACTGGACAACAAGTTGAACTGGAACAAACATCTGGACAACAAAATTAAAAAAGCTGCTATCACCTTCTGGCAGTGCCACAGAATGGTGGGTAAACAACGGGAACTTTCACCCAAGATAACACTATGGCTCTACACTGCGGTGATAAGACTCATGATCAGTTACGGCACGATAGTATGGTGGCCACGAACCAAGCTGACTACCGCAACCGACAAGCTGGACAAATTCCAAAGACTCGCTTGCATGGCGACGACTGGCTGCATGAGGACAACTCCAACTGCGGCCCTCGAAGCGATGCTGGACCTTCGACCCCTCCCACTGTTCATCAGACAGGAAGCGGCGTCAACAGCAGTGCGTCTAAACAGAGCCGGTCTCTGGAAGCACATGAGGACCCCACATACAGAAATCTTTTACAAGACTGTCAATGAGCAACCGCTACTGGAGGCGGTTGTGGATAGGATCCCAAAACAATACATCTTTGACAAGAAATATAAGATACAATTATTTGAAGATCCCAACGAAGGACTAAACCCCAGAGAGGTCCGAGTCTTCACAGATGGATCTAAAACAAACTCAGGAACAGGTACTGGGGTATTCTCAGAAGACCTCAATATCAGGATATCAGCAGCGTTTGGTGACCACAACACAGTATTCCAGGCTGAATGCATGGGCATCAAGTTGGCGGCAGAAGCAATCATAGCGAGAAGAGTAAAGAACTACTCCATTCGAATTCTCTCCGACAGTATGTCAGTACTTTAAGCACTGAATAGCTATGACATAAACTCAGGGCTCATTTACGAATGCCATCAAGCACTCATGGAGGTATGTATACAAAACCACGTAACTCTTCAGTGGATTAAAGGACACAGCGGCTCACGTGGCAATGACGCAGCAGATGAACTAGCCAGGAAAGGGTCGGAGACGGACGCTGTAGGACCAGAACCGATAGTGTCCCTCCCCTGCCAATGGTCCAGAACAACTATACACAAAGGTACAAAATCTTCACATAATAATACATGGACCACCCTTACGGTTTGTAGACAGGCGAGGGAAGCACTCCCAACGCTCAATGCCAGTCTATCTCGAATACTAATTAAACTTAAAAGGCAAGAGCTTCGCACTCTAACTGCCGCCCTAACGGGTCATGGTCCATACAATAAACACCTTTTCAATTTAGGTATCACAGACAGCCCTCTATGCAGAGCGTGCATGGAGGGGGAGGAAACAGCTGCGCACATCCTACTTCAGTGCTCCGGCGTGGCCAACTACAGGGCAAAATACCTTGGAGAGCCAAGGTCGCTCCCCGAAGTCTTCAGCAAACCAAGGAGGCTGCTGAGATTCCTGGAGGAGCTTGGGTGGCACGAGTAGGACCCTGCACCCACCACACGCAAAATAGGCGCTTTGTCGTCGAGTTGCGGATCAGCCCGTTGCACCAAGTACCAAGTACACAGTGCCGTGAATTCGCGGATAGGGCCTTAGACCATTTTGCGGTTGACCCTGCTTTCGGGAAGAACATCATCTTTAGTGGTGAGGCTCATTTTTGGCTCAGTGGTTTTGTTAATAAACAAAATTGACGGATATGGAGCGACGACAATCCACAGGAGGTCCATCAGGTGCCTTTACACTCCGAAAAAACTCACGGTCACTGTTTGGTGTAGATTTTGGTCCGGCGGTATCATTGGCCCTTATTTCTTTGAAGATGCGCAAGGAGTCGCGTTCACTGTCAATGGCGACCAATATCGGACGATGATTTAAAATTATTTGTGGCCTAGAATCAATGGTATGGATCTCACGAACATGTGGTTCCAGCAGGACGGCGCCACTTGATATACTGCACGGGAAACATTTATTTTAAAGTTCGAGGGCTTTGTTATCTCGCGTGGTGGTGACATTAACTGGCGACCGAGATCTTGTGATCTAACACCGCTCGATTACTTTCTGTGGGGCTACGTAAAATCTCGAGTCTATGCTGACAAACCACAGACAATTGCTACCCTGAAGGCCAACATAACTCGCGTTCTTTATGAGATTGAGCCCCATTTATGCGAAAATGTCATCCAAAATTGGTCCACCAGGATACACCACATTCAGCGGAGTGGCGGTGGCCATTTGGCTGAAATTATATTCCATACATAATGTCATCAAATGTTCTTTAAAATAAAATAAAAATTGTGGCAATATCACTTAAACAGGTTGTTTTATTCCATTTCAAAGTTCGAGCGCTCTTAATGAAAAACCCTTTATAATGTATGACAAATCGCGTAGTTGAACGTGTCATGTTTTTTTTCATCGAAAGACAAGGTTAGGTGTGCACCACAGTCCATCGTCAAGTCCGAATTTCAAAAACCTTTTCCACACTAGCGTGGCAAAAACGCTTTTTAGCGCAGATTTCTAATGAGAAAGAAAGCCTTTCCGAGCTAGTGAGGTGAAAAATAATTTTCAAGAAGAGTCGCGCTCGCCGCCGTCCTCATTGCCTTGCCGACTACCGCTAGGTTATTAATAAAAAAAAAATACTTACAGACAATTATAACGTATTTAAAATTACTCCACAACTTCATTTTCATGATTCTTGACAGATCAAAGTAAAATACTGAAATTCAAGTAAAAAAATTAAAGAAAAATTACTAGTCACTGGTCTGGGTTACATTATGTTACATTAGACCGACTAATTAAACTTGATCTTCTGTTTTAAACTGATTAAATGGCTCTTAACAGTACGTACTTACTTACGTACTTCATAATTTTAGTGAAATCTGTCAAATTGTTCATCCTCAAGCTGTCACAAAAAGAAATAAAATGATCCAAACACCTACAGATGCTGTAGTTATAGTATAATAAGAAGTCATATCATTTGTTTAGGTACTTAAGTAAATGTAAACAATCTAATGTCTATTTAATGAAATGAACGAGTGAATGAATGGATACTTAGCTTCAATATGAAATTGCATGCCTATTTTTATATCTATTGATTTGTAAAGCGTATGTTCCAATAAAAAGATGTATCAAGATTGTTTACATTCAGATAAGTACCTAAACAAATGGACTATAGTATTGTAAGCTACACCCCTTCTTAACACCGTTCTAACGTCACAGCTCCTATAAAAGCGAGAGTGGAGCTGTTCTCGAAGGGTTCGAGCCCATCCACCAAGCCTTCTGGCAACTAATAATTTAGTAGCAGTAGAGCTCCATGTGAAAGAGTCCGTCCGGGGTAGTACTACCCTACTACTATATACGTTACTATAAACGTATACTAGTGTATACCTTTTTACCAAAAAGTTATATTAAGATTATCATTTCCTAAGTTTAAAAACTACATAAAAATATTTTGATTGAAAATTACGTATTACAAAATTGAAGACTACGTGTTAGATAAAGATGTATGGAAAGACGACATGGCTCCAGAATCCACACAAATTTGACTCAAAGTGTTATTCCATAGCATTTAAGTTTATTTGAAAAGTGCAATCCCTAAGTTTCTTGCTCGTTCTTCTCAGGGAAGTTAGCGCAGTAAACGAGCAGTAGCTTAAATGTGGCGTTTTCAAGTGTAAATTTATTTTAACTATGGAATAAACGATACTTTGACTTTGATTACTAACAAAAATACTTAAGTATTATGGTTACATAGTATTATTATTACACTTGATGTTATAAAAAAAAAGTACGGCACGGTTGCCCAGATTCTTTCAACCTTCCGACCTTGCCTTCAATCAACCCAAATCCTCCTAAAAATAAATCCTCCAAAGGAAAAGGCCAAATATCTGGCAGACAGCCTCGAAGTCCAATGCTCCCCCAATTCAGAACTTCCTTTTGCCTTATTCAGAGCGTCGGGGGGCACGGGTACGTGTAAATCAAATGTACTTGGACACTCGTTACGTTCACAGTGGCCGGTAGAGCTATGGGCTCGGTTCGCCCGTATTTTTATTTAGGTATACAGTGCTTAATCTAGCGCTTGTTTGCGATTTCGACGTGTGGATCTATCCGTTCGTAGCAGCTTCGGCACTATGAAAGGATAGCCGCCAAGAACCGCGCGCCCGCATTCGCCGCCGTGCCTGCACCTGCACTCTGAATGAGCCGTCTCTCTTCCAGGTGGATTCTATATTCACAAAGAGCAACCCCTAGAGTTTCTTGCTCATTCTTCGCAGGGGAATCTGCCATACAAATGAGCAGTAGAGTTTAAATTTTTTTATATAAATGACAGGCAGATGACTCCATTCCACCTGATGTAAAATAGAAAATGGAATCCAAACGTGAAGGAACCTAGTGCAGTTTATTAAATATTTATTGAATTGATATTCAATTATTTTTATGTGAAATTACTCCACTAGTTTGTTATAATGATTAAGACAAAGATCACGCACGGTATGCTAGAAGACGTCGGTTCAAATCCGGCCGGATCGAAGGAATTTTTTATGAGTGTTCGACATTTGTATTAATAATTATAACCTAGTGCAGTGTTGATACAATCATTGCCCTAGCCACGTCCATCCTGCATGCCTGCAAGATGCCTCTTCATGTCTCGTTTGAAGGACCTCATATCGCAAGACTAAGGGAATAGGTACGTACCCTGGAAAGGAGTTCCATTTCTCAACAGTGCAACAGAGGAAGGCGCCACCAAATCTTTTAGTTCGCGATGGAATACGTGCGGCTACAGTGCCCAATATTACCCTACTACAGCCGTACGTATTCGTGAGGTGTTAGTGAGGTGATCTTCACATGGGTCCTCAGGAAGTCACTTCCCATGGTGCTTCCAGCTGATCGAGTTAACCATTCTTGTTTTAAAGTTGACATATGCATCAAGAGAACACAAACGGTCGACCAATGAATTCCGAACATAATAATGTCTCTCATTTACTTACAATAAATTGTAAAGCAATTTGGTAAAAAGTAACTGTCATGCTTACTCATAATATTGTGTAGAATTATTGCAAAGAGGATTACGGGCGATCGGAAACAAGACACGGATTGGGAATTCTAGAACACCGGAGTGAGGACACGCTCACTTAGAGGTCTGGAATGTCCAATATTACTCTACTGGCTGTAAAATGTAAAACGGTGACTACGGAGGCCAGCACGCATGCTTCGGAGCAGGAAAGGGGGGGCGGGATGAGGTAGAACAGTTCTTCAGAGCACTCACCATAGTACACCCGATACTATCCGATAAAATCCGATAAATATAATTTGCTTACCTATGAAATAAAGATCATTTGGGATTGATTTTGAGCCATAACAAAATGGATTTTACGGCCCACAGTTAAGTTTCTTAAACACTTTCCATCACACTGATCTATTCAGAACCCAATGATAGTTAGGTGGTCAGGGTATCTTAAGGCATCTACTATAAGAATTTTGTTAGACCTTATCAAACGCATCAGTTAAAACCCTAAATGTTTACTGCTGAAAAATATTTAAAAACTTTATGATTACACTATAAAACTAGATTACGCAAACCGAAAACGAATTGAATTTTTATATAAAATAAAAAAAATATGATCTGAAAAACCATTATTGCAATGTATAACGTGAAGTACTGAATTTATTATTAAAAAATGTTATTTGTAAACGTTTTGTATAGAAACGTTGTGTAGAATAATGAATTTCGTTGTTTTCGTTATATTAAGTAAGTACCATTTCGCCTGTTCCGCATAAAAAAAATTCTTTTTTTTTACTTTTGTAGTATAAATTGTCGAAATATAATTTGCACAGATTTGTCTTATCGCTTAATCTTTAGAATATAATAGGATAAAAGAGAGAACCGTCCCGGTAACGCACTTGCCATCTGTAAAGGGCAAACAACTTTAATCTAGTCAAATTCGACGTAGAATGTTTAATAACAAAAAATTGCTAGGCAACCAATGATGGCATAGGAACAGAACATTTTTTTCAATGCTCATTATTAAGGCTTGCTCTGCCCACGGCCTGCTCTCGTAATTGGAATTTCAATAAGTAGGTAATTGGGTTTTGTACAAGTTATACTTACCTAGCCAATTATTACAAAGTTTAGAAAATACTTATTGATACGTATGATTTAGGAATAAACGTAAGTTTTTTTAGTCTGTTAATATTAATATTACTGCTAGATGGTAGATGAAATGATACAAATTTACTACGTACATATTATATCATCCAGCATCTATTTCCGATTCTGTATTTAAATTTCCACTAGCTCGAATGTTTGCAATCTCTCCCTTCAAATTAAAAAGTCACTAGGGATGACACAGTTTTACACGTAATTAACTACTGGTCATATTAGGTGATTTGAAACTTCTGTTGAATAATATTCATCATAAACATGGCTTCAAGATTTAGTATTATGGATAACCTGCGAGTAGTTGAATTTCGTATGAAAATATTGAAATTGAGGTGAAGGAGTCTGAGATGAAAACCCGAAAATCATATGTTGTTGTTTGTTTACATTTATTCTACATCGAAATTGGATAGAGTATAGTTGAAACACTTTTATGCATTGGCACTTGTTTCTAAACTTGATAATCTTGAACCAAGAAAGTTAAATCCGTGTACGTTTTACGTAAAAGAAGTGTTAATTTTATTGCTGTATTGTAATAGAAAGGACAAGCCGTTCCAAGAGATAACATTCATCGGTGCAAATAATATTCAACTAAACGAATTTGCGCAGTTATCCTCTTCGGTCTCCTCTCAGGTTAGGATAAAGGCCACAATCCACCACGCTGGCTCAATGCGGATTAGGGATTTTCACTATCACTTATCGCTATGTCATCATCATCATGGGTGTCTTTTATAACCGACCTCAAAAAAGATAGAGGCTGTCAATTCGACTGTATTTTTTTGTATGTATGTTACGCGGATACTCTGGCGTTTATAAAACAATTTTGATTTTTTTTTTATTGGAAAGAGGGTACCTCAGTATTGGTCCCATTTGAATTTGAAGAAAATATCCCACCACTAAGGGTGGCAAACTAGGGAATGCATCCGGTTTCGCGCACTTTCCAGTAACCGATTTCAATAAAACTTGGCAAATAGATGTCATTCCAAGAACTTTTAAGGTTGCTTGTGTATATGGCGGGATGAACGAGTCGTGCGCCTGTTGGTAAGCGACACGCCTGTCCATAACAGTTCCAGTGCCACTCAGGGCTATAAATCGCAAAGAAGACGTGTATCATATAAAACAAAACTTAGTCAGCCATTTTTATTAACCGACTTTAAAAAAGGAGGTTCCCATTTCGTATGTATGTTAAGCTTTAACTTAAATGTGTGACCCGATTTCGATGATTCTCATTTTGTTGGAAAGACGGTACCTCTGAAGTGGACCCAATTAAATTCAAGAAAATATTCCACCTCTGAGGGTGGCTAACTAGGGGATAAATGACTGAATGATTCTTCTATTCTGTGAGCAAAACTAAACGGTACTTATCTTAATAATCAAAATTCATTAAACTTTAAAGTTTCAGCGATAATTTTGAAAGACGCGGCAAGCTACTATAGCTCATATCAATCGAAAGGTGAAATTCAACCTAATCATTACCAAAAACACAAGAAAACCAATACTGGCATTTTCTACAATGAGGGCCGCAATTCTAAACACCAATATAAGCATAAGAAACGATGTAACACTGAAGAAGGTTGCGACAAAAGGAATCTTGTATATCCATATGGAACTCTTCGAGACCCAAACCAGTTACAATGGAACGAACACAGTAAAAAAGATGATTCAAAGAAAAGCAAATCTCGAGAGCTAGTTGAATGGATTAATAAAGAAATGGAACATGTGAAAATACAAGACGCAATAAAGCACCGCGAACCTAAGGTACCTTTAATCAAGACGGTAATGCCAATAAGGCACCTTTGGTGTAGTGTAAAGATTCTACCATAGTAAAATAATAAGAAAAGTATGGTGTCTACCACAGAACAATAAATGCAGTAGAACTGGATAGTTACCGCCAACCGCCATTTTCGGTGGTATCGTTTTCGGCAAATTCGTGGTGGTATTTCATATCATCGGAAACTCTTTTTTTAATAAATTTTCAATTTTTTCTTCAATTTGTACCCTTATCCTTCAAAATCGGGACGCAGTTATGTTCACATTACAGCTTGGCGGCAGAAATTGGTAAAATGGCAGTACTTATATGGTAGCAGTAGAGTTTGTTCCGTGTTTGGTTATGTCTAAGGGTAACGGACAGACGCGACAGTGGTCCTGAGAACTTTGTGATTCAAAGCACTGAGTGGCATTGTAACTGTTGTGGACAGATGCGTCGCTTACCACAAGGCGCGCGACTTGTTTATCCTACTACTTGGTGTTATATATAATATATAAAAAGGGACCTCTATTGCTACTATAAGAAAATATTTATAAAAGTACAAATACGCATTTGACCTACGTCTCACCTGATGGAATGTGACGATGAGGTCGATGATGGAGCAAATCAATATAATGCCTATTCACTCTCACCTCAAAAAGGCCCAAGTTGCAACATTTACTCCGTAGCCGCTCGCCATGTATAAATCTGGAAGCGTAGGGATATTTTATTACTTTGGAACTCCCTGAACATAGAATTCCAACCTATGTCCAATCCCTCGATGGTGGTTTAGGGGATCTGTATGCTTTCATTCATTTTATTTAAGAGCCATGCTCTTGTCGGTGTAGCCTCCTCCACTCCTCACGGTCCATAGCCAACTCCTTGACCTCCCTGTAACTGCTCACATTAACCTTTCTTTTTATTTGGTCACAGAATGCCATTCTCGGTCTTCCTCTCTGTCTCCTTCCTTCCATCTTTCCCTCAACAACAACCGTCAATAGTTCGTCGTTGCGCAACAAATTTCCAAACATTTTTCCCCTCCTATTCTCTATCGTCTCCTATTCTCTGTATGCTTTAAAGAGTGACAATTCTGTAATCCTTCTTTTATTTAAGGTATTTGAAATCGAAGTTGAAAGCTTGAGCGGTAGGAAGGAAAGATCTGGTCGGAGAACGATTGCGTACGAGCAGGTTAATCAGCCTGGTAAGCTATTTCCGTTCATCTATTTGTGTTCCACTTGGGCCAGAGTGGCTGACTATATGGCTTATTATATGGCTTAAATATCTTCACTTAAGAGAGAGGAGACCTATGTACAGCAACGCGACGTATAAATGAGTTGATGTTGATTCTTCTTCTTCTTGGGGTTCCTCTCTTATCGGAGGTTGGACAACATCATGGCAATCCTGATTTTGCTGCAGCTCTAAAGAGAGAGGTGGTGGTGGTACCACAGCCTAACTATTTTCTCAAAATTTTCACCCAGGAGTGCCGCCCCCTATCAACACTTCGTTTTCCAGTAATTTTGTCTTGGATGATAAGCTGAAGTAATTTGTACTTATTGTTCCTCGTCACAGTACATTTATGAACGAATTTAAGGGGCAATGTATTAAGGCTTTATTAAGGCTTCTATAATAAGATTCCGATTGATATTCAAAATTTTCCATTTATGAGGTTTAAAACTATTGTGAAACAAAAACTTTATAGGAAATGAAACTAACAAACCAACTAATGTTTCGGGCCCTTTACAGGTGCCATGGTCACGGTTGACTGACCTGTAAAAACTTTATACTAAAGATTATTATACAACTTCTGCGTACGTGGATGACAAAAATCCGTGGTAGTGACACGTTTAGCTTTTTCAGGTATTCTCGATCTAAGTAAGATGTTTAAATTGAATTTTGTAATGATAAATGTATTCAAATGTATATTTAGAAAGAGCAACCTCTTAGAGTTTCTTGTTCATTTTTCTCAGGGGAATCTGCCTTAGGGGGAAGCGGGGCAGTTTGACACAGGGGGCACATTCATACACCTGCATTATCTCCATGTCTTCAAATTAGTTGTGATAATACTAGAACGTGCCTTTGTAAGTGTGAGTAATAGTCATGCGATGACGTAGCTCGTCGTTCGACAGGTCACAAAGTGTTTTCACAATCGTTAACTAAAAAAATAAGCGACACAAACACGAGTGCCACCGCAGTTTTGTTCACTTTACAGGGTTTTATGTCTTAATACAAGGGTAAACTAGTATTTTCATTAACTAGAATTGGATGTGACTGAGAGAATATATAATGATTTTTTTTTAAGTAAATATTATTTTCTAAACTGACCAGTGGGGTACTTTTATACACTAGTGAGGGGCAGTTTGGTACGTATCAAAGTGCTAGGAATTAGTTATTTTGTACGAAAAATATAAAACTGTTTCAACAAATCATTGTAAAGAGGTGAACTGGTGACATTTTGCGCTATAGTCAGCTCTTCCTCCTGTATTTCTACTTCCAAGATTACATTACAAAGAACACTTTTCAAATGGTGCCCTAGAAAGAAGTCTTGATAGATCAGGTGCGGAGGCACATATAGCGTCATACTTAATGAACACTTGATCACATAGTGCTAATAATACGTGGCCACCAGGAATGGCACACTACGTTGATTCACACATTCTTCAGTGCCCCAAGCGATGTATCAAAGTACCCCACAGATGGGGCAGAATTGGACACTTCCCATTTTTTTGTTAAAATCAAAATTTTTCAATTATTGAATGCTATTTATGAAAGAAAAGATTAAATTGGTAATGTTTATTAGTTATATCATCAATTAAATAGAAAAAATATTAATTATAATTTCATTTAGGTGCCCAAAATTAAATTTAAAAACAAGTGTACGAATCTGCCCCACTTCCCCCTAATAAGCAGTAGAGTTTAGAGTTGTAATTTGCTTTATTATTTATGGATTAAATATTATTTGACTTTAAGGTTAACGCGGCCGAAGTACGACATTTTCCTGCACTGAATGATGATCATAAGTTCCACTTTTTTGAACAGTTTATTGAGTACTTCTACATTTGTAACCTTGTCACGCCACGAGATTCTTAAAACACGGCGGCAAATCCACATCTCAAAAGCCTTCTGCTTCCTTATTGTGTTCTGTATGAGAGTCCAATTTTCTACGACTTGTAGTAGGACTGAGGTGACCTAACAACAGTGATGTTGAGAGCTAGAGAATGTAAAAGACATATTCTAATTGTTTGTCTGGTTTTAGTTACAAAACAAAAAAAATTCAAAATCATTTACAAAAGAGTTGAAAGTAACCAACAGGTGTCCAGCGAAATAAGCGAAGGTGAAAATGCCAACGGCAGTGAACAGCGTGCAACAGACAGTGAAAAAGCGGTGGCTAAAATCGAATACGTGACTAAGCCACCTCATCGCAGGTAATTTTGGAATCCCATAATCTACGGAGAGACGTTGGCTCTCTGCGTATGCTCTACCGTCTGCGGATTGCTCAAAAGGAACGTTTTAAATTGGTGCCACCATCACGTTCCCGCCATCGCACCTCCCGCCAAAGGAGTAGAGCCTAGGCAGATATCATAGATGCCAGGAATTGTAAAACCACGCGGGCGTTATGTTCGTTCCGTCCTCGAACCTGTAAGATCTGAAATCGTCTTCTTCATGAAGTATTTCCTTTGCGCTAGGATCAGCAAGCAATGAGGATGGTCATCAGCTTAAACTGCGATCGCCAACCCACCTGCCAAGCGTGACACTTATGGCAAAACCCGTCAGTTGATGGCGAAAATAAAACCAAGCCCAGTCTCCGGCGGTCCCGTCATTCATTGCTAGGGTAACGATCATGGTACAGAAACGGTTTTTGGCCTATGTTTTTCGGCTCAAATGATGATGTGCCTGTACTTTCACCTGTACCGTTTACCGTTCAATACCGGAAGACGATGTTAAAAATCAGCTGTACCTCTGTTTCTAATTTCGATGAACATTAACCAATAAAGTCTAACTTAGTATTTGTACAATTGCAGGTTTGCAACAGTGCCATCATATACTGAGTTTGGTCCTGAGGTTGCTTACACACCATCAATTTATGTTCACGTCAAAAAACGTAACAAAGCAAATTTGCAACGTTCCAACGTTCAACCTGTATCTGCAGAGCTTAAAGATAACAGTGCCTACGGTGACTCAGTGGATATTGATTTACTTGATACTATCAATAATAAAAGAACGCGAAAAAAAGGCAACGAAAACGAATTAAAATTTATCCAACACCGTCCAGCTGCTAGACAACAGAAAGAAATATATATCAATAGCCAAAATGAGGAGATATCTGCTGTATCAAACGAAAATGTTAAACAAAACGATCGTTTGGAAGTTGATCATCATCAACTAAAAATTTATATAAATAATGATGAAATTCATAAACTTAGTGGTATGAAACCACAAGAAATACACAAGAAATTGTCTATGACGTTTGACAATGAATGGGATGGAAAACAGAATACTCAGGTAAGTACATCGAGTATTATATCGATCGACATTTACATTTTGAACGACTACTTTTGCCATAGAGCCATCTGTGAGAAATTTATTTCTTCACTTAGAGATTACCTAAATTACAGAAATTAGGTTTACAGCTACCATCATCACTAACTGGAGACGTCCTGTAATTTTTGAGTTGATTGAATGCCACGATGTCTTACTACCTATACATAGGGCGTACTATTTGTTTTCGGAACTAGTAAGTAAGTAAGTAGTTTATTTATTTGTACAAAAACACTGGCCACTTACATAAACAATATTTAAAAAGTAATTACAACATTTGAAAATGGAACTCTTTGGCTGTAGAATTCAGTTTGTTTCATCGGACTGTCGCTTGTTTTTACTTTGTGGCGTCGTTTTAGAAATTGGTTGTCTGCATCACCATGGATTTAACTCGTGAATATTATTTTAGTACGATTTTCTACGACTTTAAGTGTAATGCAACAGCACGGCGGAGCTTCGCTCGGCTTCAAACTGCTTTTGGCGATGAAGTACCATGCAAGACGACTATTTACAGCTGGTTTGCAGAATTTAAACGCGGTCGTGTCAATTTCATTGACGAATTTCGTGATGGTCGCCCGTCCACAACAAAAACATCGATGATCGAAACAGACAAGCATGTGACATACCATGAGATTCGGGCATCTTTTGGCATAGGCATGAGTTAAAACAATCAATACTACACAAACATTTAGGTGTGAAAAAGCGGTGCTCTCGGTTGATCTCATACAATTCGACTGAGGACCAAAAAACGGATCGCGTCACTTGGTGCAATGCCATGCTTACCAGATTCAACGAAGAGGCATCAAATTTGGTGTGAGACATAGTAACAGCGAAACATGGATTTATAGTTACGATCCCAAAACAAAGCAGCAATCGAGCGTATGGATCTTTCGTTCATCTTGCATCGCGATACTGTCAGTTCTCATGCGACCAGACAGACAAATGAATTTTTGAAGGTGAACATCGTTGACCTTATGAGCCATCCCGCGTAAAGTCCCAGTTTTATTTATTTCCCAAAATTATGAACCAGTTACGCGGTCAACGATTTTCATCACCTGAAGAGGCTGTCGAAGAGTATGAAAAAGATGTTTCAGAGATTGTCACGGAGGAGTGGCATAAATGTTTTCAAAATTGGTTCATTTGTATGAAAAAGTGCACTAACGGGGAATATTTTGAGAAACAATAAATTCATTTCTGACCATTTACGGTATCTATTTCTTATTCAATCCGGAAAGTTATAGTGCGCCCCACATATTTCTTGTGAAATCACTCCACTAGTTTGTTATAATTATTATAATAAAGATCGAAACACTAAGAGCAGTTACATACGACGACTTTTAAGCAGCGATGCAAGCGCGTGATTGCATCACACACACTTGGGATTTATAGACGATTGCATCATTGCAGTCGCGCATTGCATCGATGAAATCAGGCGATTTCATCGATTTTTTATAGGCATACGCATTTACGCGCGTTTGTATCGATGCAGTCGCGCGTTTGTATCGATGCAATCGCCTATCAATCGCAAGTGTAGCGATGCAATCGCGCGTTTCACGAACGCGCGTAATCACTCCAAGATTTTAGTAGTAGTAGAGCCCCTTGTGAAAGAGTTCGTCCAGGACAGTAGGTACCTATTTCTAACGACAAGCCGCAGTGTGAGCATTACTACATTCCGGGTTTGAAGGGTGAGGGTGCTGGTGAAATTACAGGCACATGGGACTTGTCAACTTATGTCTCAGGGTGACGGGCGCGCTACACACCTGTCCATAACAATTGCAGTGCCACTCAGAGCTTTAAATCACAAAGATCTTAGGGGCACTATCACTGTGCCCGTCACCCTGAGACATAAGTTGACAAGTCTCATTTGCCTGTAATTTCACCAGTACCCTTACCCTTCAAAACCGGAACACCGTAATGCTGACATTACTGCATGAGGGCAGACATAGGTAAAATGGCTATTTGTACCCCCCACACCATAATACTTTTATTTTTATTACAGGCGCGTAATATAACTTCTGCAATTGATGCAAAATCCATGTACGTCAAAATGGGCGATAATTTGAATGAGAAGTCAAATACAGACACCCAGTATACTATTCTCAACAAAGAAACTTCGTCGAAGGTTCAATCTGTTGAGAGATCTAATAACCAACAAACAACTAGCAAACTAGAGCAACAAGACGGAAGCGAAGTTATTACTTTGCTTAAACGCTTGTTAGTAGAGGTGTTAGACGAGTTAAAAGATGTGAAACAAAATACCAATGACGAAAAAATTAACAATAAAATGCAAACTATGCAACGTGTCGTAAGTGAAAAAATTGAATTAATAAAACCGACTTTATTAGAAGTCTTGAAGGAACTGAAAGAAAATAAGAAATTGATGAAACAAGAAGCTCAAGCACCGCAAAGCTCTCCTGTAGACATAATAAAGCCAATTTTAGTTGGTGTATTAGACGAATTAAAGGAAAGTAACAAGAAAACTCAGGAAGCGTTGAAGGAAATAAAGAAAGATAAGAAACAGTTGTTACGAAAGGTCAAACATAGAATACAGGAAAAAATTCCTAAAAAATTTATGTACCCAAAACAGAAAGAGAGCAGCGATCAGGTGGAATATGAGAGTACGAAAGAGGATAACGTTAACACTGTGGAGAGTGACAAATCCGACATGAGCCAGGAAGAGTCTCAGAAAGATTCTAAGAGCTCGAAGGTGTCTAAAAAGATCAAACTCCAAGAAAATGAACTAAAGAAAAAATATTTCAAAGATAAAAAGACGACAGACCACGTTTACAACAAACATTCCACAAATGAATCAAGATATAAACAAACGAGTAAATGTGACAAGCTTAATTGTAAGAAAAGGCCTGAAACCAATATTTTACCATCCAATATTTTTAACGCTTCAGAAATTTTGTCTAATCCTATTAAACAGCAGATGGTGAAAGACGTTATCAAACTAATAGCAAAGCAAAAACTGGTCAGTATGATTTCAGAACTATTAGCTGACAGGTTCATAGACAAATTAAGAAACGAAAGAAGTGGAAATGGAAACCAAAGAATGTATCGTTCTGTAACAAATTTTCTAAAAACTGAAAACGCAACAGACGTATTCAATGTTGTTAATGTAGAAACTACAACGGATTTACCGGTGACTGTTCAAAGATTTGAAATATTTTTAGGTTAATGCTTTTTATAGGGACATTCATATAATTTGTACTTTTATTATAGTTTTAGTCGATTTTTAAAAAAGAGGAAGTTCTCTGTTCATGCGACAGTAAAAGCATATAAAATTCAATTAAATTTGGTAGGTTATTGTTAAGTATCAAGTGACGCCCTGTTAGATCAATATAATCAAATTATTTATGGTAAATAATGCTTATCACTACAGTTTTCCAACTGCCCCGCAACAATACTTCTATTGTTTCGTGGTGAAATTACAGGCAGATGAGACTTGTCAACTTATGTCTCAGAGTGACGGGCGCAGTGGCAGTCCCCCTCAAGTTTTTGCATTTAAAGTTCTCAGTGGCAATGCAACTGTTATGGACAGGCATGTAGCTGACCATAAGGCGCACGACGTGTCCGTCGTGTCACTTGATATTATAAAAAAAATAACAAGGCAGCAATTCGTTGCAGTCGTTGCAGTGTCTAGTTCAATATTATTTTTGAAGCCTTATTCAATTTATGTTAATTCAATTTCGCAAGAAATTTCGGTTACGTTAGTTATTATTTAAAGCGATTTAACAAGTTTTTCAGCGTATAATAACGTACCAAATAGACATACCTTTTAAAGATTATCTTATCTTTAGTATTCTATAATATCAACATATTTCCGTCGAAGAAAAACACGACCGATGTTTGGGTATTTAATACATTTAAAGCTGCTCCATTATTACACAAGTTTTTGCTTTATTTCAGCATAACGCTGCTGCCAGGAGCGCATTGTTTTTTTATAATATAAAGTGACGGGACGAACAATTCTTGCGCCTGATGGTAAGCGACACGCCTGTCCATAACAGTTGCAGTGCCACTCAGAGCCTTAAATCGCAAAGATCTGAGGGGCACTGTCACAGCGCCCATCACCCTGAGAAATAAGTTGACAAGTCCCATTTGCCTGTACCCAATCCGGAATGCAATAATGCTAACATTATTGTCTGGCGGCAGAAATTGATAAGGTGGCAGTACTTCCCTCGACGAACTCTTTTACAAGGTGCTCTACTGCTACTAGAAAGTCCATTGATATATACTCCATTTATGATAATATTTGATAATCTGCTAAAATCTAGTTGCAACGGCAGGAGCGACTTAATGAAGTGTCAGTCGAATGGCAGTGATAACATTAATTCGTTCAGTAATTAATAAATTCAGGCAGTAAATTGCGGAAGTCCTTGTTAATAAAAATGGAAGTAAACTAATTTTGCTAACCAGTGAAGGTTATATCGTTCAAAATTGATGCGTTAGTGTTAATTTTCCCACCCTCCCTCGCATAAAATTATACAAGGGCAATTACAGTCACAGACACCATCTCCAAAAATATAACTAAAATTTTGGTGGTAGCTGGAAATGACCCTGTTTGTGATACTTGTGTTTACTTTGCTTGTTTTACGCTGTGCAATCTGTTCGCTAACCGATCGCGCGGCGCATCTGCCAGATCTGTACGCACCCTCACAAGTACACACAGTTTAAAAAACAGCGTCATAATAGTAGTTTATGTAAGTATTACATAATGAAAGGCATTAAAATAAGACTTAGTTTCATAAAAACATCACACGAATGTTTTAATGCCTAATTATGTACAGTTACATACACTGCTTTATCTATACACACATTATAAGCTCTCTATTATGTGTTCAGGGACCGCATGTCACACCAGTCGTAACCTGCGGTTCAGTGTGCGGTCCGCGGTAAATGAAAACTTTTCTCACGCATGTCATCGATTCATGGACAAACTAGAGTCGGCCCCAACTATCATATCGTTCGATTTTAAATAACGTCAGAAATTTGTCAAAATTGTTTGCTATTGACATTTCATTTCGAATAAAACTTCATCTCGACTGATATTAGAATAGAGGTCGAATCAAATTGTTTTGTTTTTCACAGATGTTTGACATTTGAATGTGTAATAAAATCGAATTTGATGATATTATGAAGCAATAATTACATTTTCAAAGATAAGAAATTTGTTCTAACTAAACAGTAAATCTTTATGCTGGTCGTAATTTGCGGTTTTTGAACACATCATAGAGGATTTATGATAATGTGTGTAGATAAAATAATTTCTTACGTTAACCATAGATATCATTATAATTATTGTATTAAACGAAATGAAGTAGGTAAAAATATTTACTTATTTATTTTATTTATTGGTTCAGCAACAGCCTAACACACTTAACATTTACATAATGTACATTATTATAATAAACAAGACTAGTCACACATCATTGTC